GGGGCTAGCTTATAGTTAGAAGGAAATTTATGTCAGTAATTTGCAGAAAGTTTTAACTAAAACTCGTCTTGAGGACTTAGACCTTTCTAAAACACAGCCATGCAAGTAGTCCAAGTATAATTTGTCTATATGGACCGAAGAAATCCAAGCCAAGAGTGAGAGGAAACTACGCCGCAAACAGAAATAAACTGTGACACTTTCTGACTGCAATCATTTGGGGCTTGTGATGGTTCTTTGGCAAAGACAAAAATTTATATATTTTTTCTTTGTTTTGTTTTGTATTTGAGGGCGATTTCCAAGTTCAAGACGCTCCGGGGGCTTATATCCGGAGGGACGATTTTACGGAGGATTTTTTGCGTTACGAATATGGGGGCTTATATTTGGAGGGGCTTAATTTCGGAATTTTACGGTATTTTCCCGAAAAGTTTAGATGCAGATTAACGTATTACGAAAGTTAGAATTTTTCTACTTCCTCTCTCCATCATATTTTCGAATCCGAAAATTTTAGGTTTCGTATTTTGTTAGAAATTTTTAGCCTTCCTCAAGTGATAGAAAATTCTAGGCAATATTTGCTTCTACGAACAGCTATTTTACAGAAAATTATCGTTGGGTTCCCCTGAATAGTCAGTATTTTGCGACAGCGCGAAATGTGGTTCCCAGATCGTGGACTATTTATAGGCTTCGCTTTTCAGGCCAGGATTTGAGTTATCTCAAACTGTGGACTGTGGAAAGAAGTCACATTTTGCGTTAACTCAATCTGTGTCCTACCAATCAATCACCGAAAGTCACACACCTTTCTAGAACAACTAGTGATTTTACAACCGTTCAGCCTTCATATTAAAAACGGAAACACTAACTGTTTCCTGCGCCAATCAAGAATACAACACAATCAGCGAACTTACGCATTTTATGCTTAAAAGATCACCTGTAAAGACCTGTCTTTGAACGCTTTATTTGCATAATGAACAGAATCAGTTAGTGTCATATTTTCGTAAGCGGGTTCGCTTTTTATTCGAGTTCACAATATTGATAAGATGCAGAGTTTCTGTATATGGACTTAGATGGTGAAAATATTTTGCGATTTGACTTGCCCTCTCCGCCAAGTCTTAGCTATCTTAACGGATATGGGCTAAACATTAAGTTGATCGATACGAAAATTAGAGACGGAGTAGAAACTGCACAATCCGCTCTTCATATTTTTATAACATGTAAAAACGTGAAATTTAACTTTAACGACCCACAGCCGGTATTGTTTTTCTCGAATTCTTAATGTAAAATGCCAAAACGACATTAAATGTACTCTCCTTCGCAGCCTTAAAATCCGAAATTGTGTTGTTGATTCGGCCGCCATGTTTACTTAACCTTGCAAGACAAATTTTACTACCGTCTGCGACCCTCTAAACTTGCAAATTTTGCTCCAAACCAAACTGCAACGGAGGTTGTTTTCCAGTCCTATGCCGCGACTACCACGATAGATCGCATGACCTGATTGGCTTGCATATCACATTACGTCAGAGGACATGTTCACAAGACAGGACAAAACTACAACGGTACACATGTAGCAGGCAAGATCAGGCCGACACGCGTGAAAAACGCAGTGCGCATGCGTGCCTTCCCTGCTTCCGGCGCGAATTTGCATGTGCCTCCCCCATTCGAAATTATACGCGATACCAAAACAAACTAGATTCCGGCCGCGAAATTCAAAAAAGTAAGCTCCACACACAAAAGATAAGCTTAGAATTTCACGAACACAAAGTTTATTAATTGCTTTAGTTTCTCTCTTTTGCACCACATACTTTCCTCCTTGCACCAAAGGCGAAAATCATGTTTGAAAGTCCACGCTCGCTCTGGCAGCTCTTCGCCGTAGCCATTGTTGCTGTTTTGGTCATCATGTCGCTGAGCTCGGTCAATGCGAACAACGAAAACGACCAATGCATGCTAAGTGGAAAAACAAGGACGGAAAAACCTTGTACTTGACGACTTTACCAGTTAGTTAAGTTAGTTTAAGTAATTTTTTGTTGTGCTTAATACTAGAACCGGCTGCAAACCATTAAACATATCAAACATTCCTAAGTGTTTTTCAATTTAAATGGGGAAGATTTTGCAAATTTTAATTATTGAAAATAGAGACCTTGCGCATGCGCAGACGTTTTGCACGCGTGTCGATCAGGCCCAATTACACAGCCTCGTACCCAGGCCTGTTCGCGCTATCCGAGTGACCGGAGGAGGCTTGGAACCGAGCGCGATAGTCCTGGGCGAATTTTCCCGACAAGCTTCACAGGTGACGTCACATCCGAAATCGCCGAGGACGACTGGGAACGAGGCTGCCAATTACATTCTCTCTAACGGCTACAGCCGAAATTGGGCCTGATCTATTTTCGTTTCGCATTGCCCGCCGGAATGTAATTTTCAAAGCGACACAAAAATAGAGCCTGATCTCAGGTTAGCGTAGGAACCTCTCGACTGTATTTTTTCGAGGGGGATACCTCCCAAGTTTGAGCATTAACTTCGTGGCCGCAATTAAAGATATGGGAAAAAGGTTACCACAACTGTATTATATAAAGATGAAAATTTCTTATGATCTGGGTTTTCAAGTTTCATATGCACGTGCACATTTAGCAAAAAGATAGAATTTACATCAAAAAAGACCCTCGGTTAAATATCCGGAATATGCTAGTAAGCGGGTAAAGAAATTAGAGACGAGTGCACCCCCTCCTAAAAAAAAATCCTGGATCCGCCCCTGATTATAACATCACAGCAACTCTTTGTAAGAGTTTCTCTGATGTTATAAGCAGAACACTTCAGTTTTTGGCTTTGTAACATGGAACAGTTTAATTTTAGGCATTTTATCACTAAGGCCCGGTTCAGACGCCGAACTTTTCATGAGCCGAACCTAATTTCCCAAGAGAAGAGGTCCGACCATTGCAGAAGATGTCCGAAGAACCCTCCAAACACTTAAAGTACTTTCTTCGGAAACCGCAAACATTAAAAAATTGGTCTATTTTTGAACAGCAAACATTAAAAATTATAGGCAAATAACACTAGACACTAAACCCCATTCAGACCCTCTAAAAACAGTCAATAGAGTTAATTTTTGCTAGTGTGCAAACAATCCTGAAGTTAAAGCATAAGTGGTCCAGGTTGCTATGTGAAGAAAGCTTACGTGACAAGTTTTAAGTCGTGGCCTAGTTTCATGGTGATCGGACCTTTTTCTTTAGGAAAAAGAACACCCCCCGTAATTTCTTTACAGAATAATGGGTGACTCACTCCTTAACCTACCTGAGAACAATGCGTTTCGCCAAATGCGCAACCCGTTAATGCTGGCTAAGGCAAAAGACCAAGAGAGATGATTACCTCACTACGCACTAGCAAACATGGAAATCTAATCAAGTCATCCACGCGATGAAAAAGATTTTGGATTGCATGGGATCGGAGAGATATATATATGGCAAACTGTCATCCGTCTCCAGTGGAGACCGGTGACATTTCAGACTGCGCTTACCTCTGAAAAAAATTCCAGCTACGCCCCTGGTCTACACAAGATTCGGCAATCCTTACTAGTTTGTCGCTGTTGTTTTGCTTCTGTTTTTAGAATGAATATGAGCGATTCCCACAGTAAAGGGAGATTCTAATCCATTTTAGGCCGGGTTGTTTAAGAAATGTGCGAATGAGTACCCTTATCATTTTCGTTGGTAAGAAATATACCCCCAGAATTATTAGCGCCTCCATCTCCTCAAGAGAACATAAACGCTTCTATTTTTTTTGATCCCCGTAAAGTAATTCTTATTGCTCAGGTTAGAACAGGGGTGGTTTTTCGTGTTCTTTCAGCCGCCTTGCAAACCCGCAAGTTCGAATGAACAAGGGACCAGATCGATACATGCTTAGATGTGCGTATAGGGGATGGGGGACGTTGATGTTGGGGATGCCCCAAGGATACTTGGAGTGTCCCCTTCAACGATTAACTAGGTCATATACGAGTGCTTCGTCAGAAGTCAAAATGACCAAACTAACAATAACAGCAACAGTAGTCAAACAAATCATTCCTGAAGTACCCACAACTTTAACAACTATAGTGTTTAGTCTCGTACAAATTTCATCGGGGATAACACAATGTTTTGCTATGCACTAGAATTGTATTTTGTGAGCTTTGTTGTATAACCCGTTTCCAAGAATAACCGATGATAGGTAGCGAAAATACAATTCTATATATTTTTAAATTAAGTAAAAATGAAGAAAGAAAAGGAGTGAAGTATATGTTTGGGGTTCATGATCCTCAAAATCCAGCGAATGTTTGATTCGCATTTCTCCCCAAGTTATTACAAGTTTGAGATAAGCTTTCTTGAACACCCAAAGTACATTAAAAACCTGCAAGTACGAAAAGGCATTTTTCCGACTCAGCCTAGACAGGTTCTTAGAGTGATTTTACGTGACCCTCGTGCCGAACAGATATTAATAACTAGTACAAAATAGCTACAAAAAGACAATGAAATTAGTGCATAGTGGTGTGTACACTGTAGTATTCTACTACCTACCGACTAAATTGTATCTAGGTTCTTTACGTTTCTTACGCGTTTTTACTGTGGTACTTCAACAGCTACCCAGATAATTAAAAAACCAAGACAAAGAACTTGGCTGGCTATCTCTTAGCCCGCGTAGCTGGCGGGATGAGCGTGGGAGGGCTGTATTGCTTTGGCGGCGGAGCAGCGAGAAGTGTGGGTACAAGTCAATTTGAACTTGGGATCTTCCCTCGCGTCGCTTCGCGTGTTGAAAGTACCCCGGGCACAAGAATCCTTCCAGCTACGTAGGCTACCAATCTCGCTGTTTTTTATTCACCCACACTTTACGGTGACATGAGCATATATTCTATAAACACTATTTCACATGTCTAATTATAAAATGAATAATGGTAAGAAAAGTAATAATGATAATAATAATAATAAACATATAACAAAACAATAAGAAACAACAATTACGAAAGGGTTATAACGTTATGATAAAAAAGATCATTTTTTCGTTTTAGACCAGCTACAGTCTGTTAAATAATGATAAAACAATTGGTTTGCCGCGCGCACGTACAACTATGTAAAACTCTTGAGTGAAAAAATACCTCCTTTCAATCTACTCAATTACTTCAAGTTCTTACAGTAAATATGTTAGCGTCCTACATTATGTCTTCAATTTCTTAATGTCAATTTCTGTATGGAACTAAGTATTTTCGCCCATGGTCAAAAATATATCACAACTGGAGTCTACCTTAGGTCATAAAAAAATAGTGGTAGAAAAAATATAATAGACAAAAATATATTTACATACATCTTAAAAACTAAATTAGCCTAATTCTAAAACAGTTCTCTAAAAATTATTATTTACACGTTAAAAAGCCGATAAAAAGTAATACTTTTTCCTAATTATGTATGGTAGATTCAAAAGATGAATGTGTTTCTAGGCTGTACGTTAAAATGGCGTTATTATCGAAATCCGAATCGCTTGGACATATAGTTTCTTTCTGTCTTTCCTTTATTTTTTCCAATTAGGGAGCTTAAGCATCGACGACGGCAACGGCACCAAACGGTCACTTTTAAAATGAATTCGGCGCGTTTTTTTTTCGGCGAATTTCCCTGGAGTTGATTTCTTGGCGACCGGACTCAAGTTTAGAAGGAGCCGAGAGAAAAATTCGTCGTCGTTTGTTGACGTTCTCCACTAAACGTAAAATTAGGCAGTTTTACGTTGTAGTAGTGCAGTGACAGCAAAGAAATGTACAAAATAGTGTGATGCACGAGCAAAGTTTTTGTTTTGCTAATCACACCTATTGATTGCTTTTTGGCCGTTCTCGTTGCCGTCACCGTCGTCGTTGCTAAAGCTCATTAGGGAACTTAAGCAAAGACGTTTTTGAGCGACGCACGTCAACCGGAAGTGAGGCCCTCTCCTTAACGCGTACAAATTTGTATTACTAAGTTTATTTTCTCTTATAAGGACGATTTACCCGAGATTTTCAACCAAACCACTACCCATGGTCAGTGATGCAAAAAGTCCACTTCCGGTTAACGTCCGTCGCTCAAAAACGCTGTTACTTAAGCTACCATCCCGACGACGGTATCTCCCCAAAATAAATTATCCGAATCTAAGTTTGCTTACAGTGAAGTTCTGTACCTCGCAAAACTTTGAAATTAAGAAAAAGGGAAAACCATTTATGTTTTACCATCCTCTCCGTTTTTCTATATAGATAAGTTGAGGAAATTGGCTTGATTTTATATTATGTTATTAATACCATCTGGTCACAGAGATCTCAATCTCGTTCCCAGAGTCTGTAATAAGCAAATTTCACGTTTTCCAGTGAAATCCGTCTAAAATTTTACATCATCAGATGAGTTGTTCAAAATAAACAAAGCTGTTCAGTTGTGGCTATTAATTTCTTGGCAGTAATGAATGAAACCATCAAAACTGAATCTCGGATACACCCGGATTCACTGTCCATCTGATTCAATGGAAACTAAAAAGTGATTCTCTAGTTCCTTTACAATATCCAACCTCTTAAAATTGTCCTCTTTCAGCGTTTTGCAAAAATCATAGACGGTCAAATTTGGCTTGGTCGCTTTCACAAAGTCCAAGACTGCTTTTCCACGATCACCGGCATTTGATGGCGCATTAGCCAGAGCTGCAATGTCGGGGTCTTCCATGTCGTGTTTAGATCCAATTCTTCTCCAGTCTCCACAACCATGTTTCCTTGTTTCCAGTAGCAATGCCACACGGTCCATGATGCCTACGTCTAACTCTGCCAGACGTTTCAGTCCTGAAAACGAGTAAGGGTAATAAGTTTTTTTTTGGCAATTTTAAGGCACATAAGGTCATTTAAATTGTATGCAAGGATTCAAAAGTACAGCATTTGTCACATCAGCACGACAGCAAACTATGAACGCTAATTAAGTTTTATTGACCATTCAGACTGCAAGCGGCAGAAAGTGATTGATACAGAGACCAACAAGCTATTTGCCTTGAACAAGCTGTATTATAGGTAACGTGAAAGAGGCGAATATAACAATGGACTTGACCTCAGCGTAGTGGACCCTTCACCCCTTTTAAACGGGTGCGGACAAATTTTTGAACAGAAGAATTTTTTACCTGCGTAACCCGTTTACACGGAACCGGAACCGTGTAAATTGTGTTACAGTAGTGTTCATACAGATGTACGAGTCCGCACAAATTTTTGCCAATGTTAGTGTTAGCATGGCTTTTTAAACCAAAGACGCGTACAGGGCTCCTACAGATTTTGGATCCAAAATTCAAGACTTTTCCAGACTTTTTCCAAAACGATAATCCATTTTTCCAGACTCAAGGTTATCAAAAAGCTGATCAATACAGACCTTGAAAACACGCAAGAACAATGCTTTTTTTCATGACGCGCTGCAAACGTATGGGCGATATTGAATAAGATTTGCCCCCCCCCCCTCCGCCCCAAAAAATTCACTTACAAAACTAAAAACCTCTTACAGTTTTCCAGACTTTTTCCGCGTCTGGAAAATTTCTGAGCAAATTTCAACACTTTTTCAAGAATTCAAGACTCTGTACACGTAATAAGGCTCAAAAACTTGCTGGGCTCCTTGGGTCCCGTGTAAACGACAGGCGGATCCATGCATTTTTTGCCTCCTTCAAAAATTTGTCCGGGCCCGTGTGAAAAAGGTATTAAAAAAATTACATCTTACACATGAAACTTTCAGAATTTTTTCTGTGTTTTTACAACTCTTGTGAAATTTGATATTCCTTTTCTCGGACTCCCATGACACATTTTCTTTGGTGTTATTACAGATGACTACTTACATCTTTAGCCCTTGCAAAATTTCAGGGCTCAAAGTTTAAATTTGAGTTTGGGAGCACTTGTGCTACCAGATGTAAATTTTTAGGCGCACTGCCGAAATTTTAGGCGCACGGCTGAAAATTTTAGGAGCAAAGCTTATAATGTTGGGAGCATCTATTTCAAAAGAAAAAGTAAAAAGCTTAACAGTGCCACGTTTATTTGTCATCTTCAGTTTGTTACTTTTACTTCAGTCCTGCGATTGATAAAACACAGCCGATTTGCTACACGGTAATACTGTTGTGATTTTTAATACTAATTTCTCTTTTTGACAGTACAGTTGTGACTAAAGAACACTTACACTTGAAAAACAATTCAAAACTGACAACAATGAGTGTGTCGAACGAGAATGAAAATTAATCTTTAATGAATTTGTTAAATGCGCAATGACTTACATGTAACTGGAATACGACTTAAAAATCTTTCTTACCTGGAAAAAAGGCTCTTAATCCGCACTGTTTTTGTTCTGATTGACGTTAAAACTGAACGTTCGACATGATCGTCCATTGCGCAAAACGTACGTGTTTCGTTCGTAGCATATATTTGCACGTGTCAGCGGTGTTTATTACAAAACAGAAGAGTCTGGGATGGAGTAAAACATCGAAACGAAAAAGAACATTCGAGTTCGTAGAATCCATTGGGAGAAAAGACCAATTAAACATACACCGTCTTTCTAGTTCGAGTTCGTTAGTATAGTCGGAAGTAAGTCAGTCGCTTTGTGCTTTGGGTTTTACGGCGCACAGGTGCGATTACAAATGAATTTTTAGGCGCACAACCAAAAATCCAGTCGCATATGCGACCAGTTAGTCGCTAACTTTGAGCCCTGTAAAATGTAAAAAAGAATGCAATATTCTTAAGATTAATCTGGTACAAGTAACAAGGTTTTTGTCCACTGAGAAGTAATATTACTGAATTTCCTGGTGGCTTCCGTCTTCATTGTTAATAGGGAACTTAAGCACCAGACGTTCTTGGTACCAGGGACGCCAACCGGAAGTATTTTTGCAGGATGACAACCACTGCGCATGTCAAGACGTTCTTGGGCTGCAGTCACGGACTTCAAAACGCGAGTTCTCAGGTTGAAACCAGAGGTTCAGAAACGTGAGTATGAACACAGTTAAAATTGTTAATATTTGATGTCCAGTATAACAGTTTCCAATCCTTGTATGTTCTTTTGTTATGTTAGAACTTTAAAGGCGTAGTAGAAACTTTGAAAGACATTTTCAACTGAATTATTCTGTCCGCGTTCGTGATGGTTTCACGTTGGTTTGCTTAACATTTGGCGCGTAAACCGCGTCCCCGATCCAGTTCTGTGCGGCCAACCATGCCGTTCGTGAATCAAGAACGTCTGGTGCTTATGTTCCCTAATGATGTCAAAACAAGACCAAAACGCCGCCGATACTCACTCATTCCATTAAGACCCGGATGAGGGATGACGTCAAGTCTTGCAGGTTTTGACTTTTCGGCCTCTCCGAATAAATCTTTATAGCTCACACGACACATGTAACATCCAAAATCCCGCAGCTGAACAGGATTCAGATCAAGGACAGATTTATCCTGCCCAATTAATGCCACATCATCTTTAAACCACTGATACATGAAATTCTTGCTCTTTTTTTCAAGCTTACATGCTAGCTCAACTTTTGATCCTTCTTTAGCAGTTTGCGACTTTGGATGCTTGGATATCTTTATTGGCTCTATTGAAAAAAAAAAACATAACTCAAGTGAATATAGACATCTCTTTGGATGGCCAAACATGTACCTACAGTGGAACCCAGTTAATACGGTCACCAATGGGCAAGGCTGTTTTGCGGGCAAGGATCAATTATGATATGTATCCAACGTGTTTTAATAGACTTGAAACTTAAACTTCCAAAAAATTGGCCGTATTAACGCGTGACCGTATTAACGAGGGTTTTTTTTACAAGAAAATGCATTGCCGTTTCACCAGGCGGCGAAAAAAAGTGACCCTAATAACACTGACCGTATTACCGAGGTGGTCGTAAGGCGGGGTTTCACTGTATACAAGGACGGATATTTTGTGAGTTGTGAAATTCCAATCCCCAAAGGGGTATGTTATGAGCGTTCTCTAGGCTCGATTTCCGCCGCTCTCTCAGCTCCAGTCTTTCCCTCCCGAAAAGACGGCTGGCTTTGGAACCAATGCGTTCTCTTGACCTCATAATTTGTTCCGTCTCATCAGGAAGGTAGCTAGCAGACCCGAAGGACTAGAGCCTGTATTTCCGAACACGTTTTACTAACTAACTTGCGTTTACCGTTACATGATTATTTCTACTGCCAGTGGCCGACGATGCACACGTAGTTCCTTAGGCAGGAGGGGTGAGACGGTTAGAAGGAAGCCCTACAAGTAAAGCACGAGTCCCAGTACTGAGGTAAAGGGCCACGAAAGGGTATTTTCTTCCTCCCTACCCCACACCCCACTTGGCCCTTTCGCTTTCCCACCTTTCTGACCAACTTAACTGCTCTTCTCAGTTTTCCACCGCTTTCAAAATCGAAAATCCAAGGCGAACTTAGCCTAGAAAGACCTAGAAATCCTTAGCCTGCGTGGCAGGCGCCGTTTAATTTTTTCGGTAACGTCATATATAGCGCGTGAGGGGAACACGTGCGTAAGCCCATCCTCGGAGATCCTCAGAAAATACTGCTTTAGACCATAGTTAACAGAGTGGAATGGTTATCAAGCCCGTCAAACTCCTTAAATAATAATAATAGCCGGGGGCGATTATTCGAGGTAGGCGATTATTTCAAACACTGGTCACTGGAAATCATGCCCTACATATTTTGTTTTATCATTCCGTTAAACAAAAAATTATCACATCAAATAAACTGAACATGGGCTTTTTTTAAGTGTTCCAAATTTGGTTCCTTGATCAATTTTGAGAGCTTGAATCGTCACTGATCGGTTTTGCTGGATTAGATTCTACGTCAACTTGACAGGGAGGGGATAAGAGAAGAGAAGATGGCTAGAGGGGTGGGGAGGGGGCGATTTTTCGACGGAGGCGATTATTTTAAACATTTCCATCAAAGGGGGCGATTATTCGAGGGACGGGCTATTATTCCAGGAAATATGGTATACTTGTTTTTGGGACTCTTTCGACGGTGCACAAGGTTCACTGGCATTCCTATCATTCTCATCTCATTGACCAATAAAACGTTTGAATTAATTCATTAAATCAAACATCAATTGTGCCCAGTAACGGATCTTCCAGCATAAATAGCAGCAAAGTTGTTTTTATCTTGGATTTAACTGCTACCTTTCATAACCAGCTTCCTATACTAATTACTATGTTCAGACAGAACGTATACTAATTTAATTATGGTGCATCTAAATTATGACCATGCAGTTTTAAAACCGATAAACTTACCATGTGTTTCAGAATCCTAAAAAAGACAACCATAAACTTAAGATTAATAAAAACAACTTACGGTTGTAACACATGAAAAAGACTGTTTTAGAATCAATTAATCTTCAAGGCAAAAGAAATTTCAGTTTTCTATTTATTAGTAAGTACAGTATGTTGCCCAGTATCCGGACGGTACCGGTATCTGGACACTTGAAACAAAAACTCAATTTTCGAGGGGCCCTTTTCAGTTCTCGGTAAACGAAGTATTTCGAATGAAAGCTGAACATTTCAGCTTTAAGATGAAAGTTTTGGCGATTTGAAAGCTTGCGAAACAGTCGCAGAAGACGCCGTTCTGTTCAGGTGAGTAAACTTTTCATGGCTAATATTTACCCTGTTTACTGCGCAGTAAAATTAGTGCTGCTCAGAAAAGGGAGGATAATGTGTGATATTTTCAATGAAACTGTTTTATTTTTAAAGTGAAGATACTTAAGGAAGTCGGGTTTTCAGGAAGTTTATTAATTCTTCTTGAAATTCGATTTGTTTGGAATAACGGAGGCCGGAAACATTCACTAAGTATTGATGTCAGGTGCCCTGTATCTGGACAGTTTTTTCTTTGCTTTATAGAATCGATGAATTAGCTGTGTGCATTATCCGGATAAGATTTATTTCATATCAGTAACTATAATTAAAGCTTTGATATATGATATAGTCGTAAAATGTAATTCTTCTCAACTCCGTATGGAAATTTTCACTCATTCAGAGGCGACTTGATTTCGTGTGCACGGCTTGTTTCGCGTGACTGCATTTTCTATACATAACCGAAAGCGTCTGAGTTGAACCTGAAATTCTCATACCTTCCCCAGTTGTGACTGCTAGAATGGGGTTGCAACGGTCTGAAAAATGTCACAAAGGGATGGAGAGATGTGAAAGAAGGAGGAATTAGTGCTAGAAAAGCAGGCTTATTGTGGGGACTGAGCATGAAGAAATCAACACTGCAGGTCAGACTAAATAGGAGAGTGACCTTTGACCGTCGGATTGAGGTCCCTTCCCCAAGCTTTTATTTAAATAAAAAGTGAAGAAAAAAGTCGTTTGCAGATTGGCTAATTGAGCTTGCAAACTGCGGCTTCGGCATGTCCACGGATGCCTTCCTTAAATCAGTGAAAAAGTTCCTAGACAAGGAAGTGAGAATTATACCATTTTTAGCTCATGGATGACGTAGTCATGCCATGGGCTTTTGGAGGCACTCGAATGGCACTCGATCACTCACTCACTCACTCACTCGATTCTCATTAATTTATTCATTAAAGTCCGATTAACACGTTACTCCTACCTCCCTTACTTAGTATTACTTTTGTTCCAAGTGCCTTTTACATATATGTTTGGAATGTTCTAGAGGGTACTAGTAAGGGGAATTTTTTTCCCGACACATCAATTATAGAGATGGGTTTTGTATAAATGGAAATATTCTGAAGAACACTGATAATATCATCCGCAAGAAATGGACTTAGAATTGTTAAAAGGACATTGAAATAATTGAGCGTGGATCATTGTTGTATATTTGGACGAATTGTGCACATTTGTTCCCGATATTATACTTGATATGGAGAAGATGCGATCAACAGGAGTGTGAAGGAGCTATTGCAGCCTGACGATGGGATTTCGTTCAGCGAAAAGCGAATAAGCCAAAGAGCCTTATAATCACTGTAAAAAAACGGTCCTCGAATTGTTAAAGCGACATTGAGGAGTATATATTGTGGTTTATTCAGTTATTTGGACGAATCCGTTCGACCATTTGTATTCGTATGCAAACAGGGAATGAATTAATGTTGTGTCAACTAGAAGCGGCAGGTTTTAGAACCAACAAGCGTTACGCTATTTTGCTTGAATTCTTAGGTGATCTTTGCCTTAAAGTAGGCTTTTGTTTGTCGGTGATTCCATTTAGCAGTGCTATTAATGTAATTTCTACAAGAAATGCTGCGCTGGTATAAACAAGTCTCTAGAACATTCAGGTGGAGAACGGCAATCGGATACTTCAACTGCGTTTAAATTACTTGGCTAGGTCAGAGCACGTACTGCTTTGAACTTAGCCATAAACGCCTGTATTCTGTATTTAATATAGCTCGTACTGCAAAAACTAACCGTTACGAACTCATCATATAGAAACATTTACTTAAAAGTATCGCACTTTTAAAACCACCGTTTAAATAAAACTCGTGTATGTAAAACTTGGCTATTTTACTACGGACTGCGGACTGGGTATAAAATACGGACTAGGTATAAAACGCGGACTGGAAAATATGGACTGGGTATAAAACACGGACTAGGTATAAAACACGGACTGCGGGCTGTGGACGACTGGGAATAAAATACGGACTACGGACTACTTTGGTAAAAACGGTGCTAATTGGTTCTAGGTAAGGAAAAATAGGAACAAAAGATCGCTAAATAGCAGGACACGTGAGTTAAAGTTGTAAATACTCCTAATAAATTCTTGGTGGAGGTGTGCCGCACGGTTCTCTGAATCATGAGCCGGATCAAAATGCTATTTTCTTCACCCATTTTTAGACCTTGTCTCGGTCTCTAACAATCATGAAAAGGGACAGGATCAGGGGGGTACTCCCTTATATAAGGGAAGGGTAGGGGCTTTGGGCCTTTTCGGTCTGTAAACATTTTGCCCATTTTGGTCTGGAATCGGGTATGGTTTTCGAGGAAACTACGGGAGCGTACATGAATGGAAGTATTTATCATTTCAATTCCAGATGAATAAGAACGAAATACAAATGTGCGAATTCGAAATGCATTTGGAGAATTTTTTTGTTTCCGCTCTAACTTGGTAATGATGACATAATTTCTGCCTAATTAGACCTAACCTGTTCCAGGCTCCGAGATAGTTGGGTCCGCTGAATTGAGAAAGCGAAAATACGAAAATAAAACGGGAGAAAACTGGGGAGTCTCCCCTACTATCTGAGAGCCTGGAACAGGCTAAATTAGGCCACGTCCGAAAATGGGTATGGATTTTAGAGATCTGGTCTGAAAACGGGTGTGGAAAATGACAATTTTTGGTCTGCAATAAGGTCAGGATTCGGAGAACCGGGCACCACAACCCCACCAAGAATTCCCAGAAGTACCCCCCTCCGGGGATCAGGAGCAGCGTGTAAATCATGTCATCTGTAATCATCGCTTAGAATATAACGTTGGATGACTCATTTCGGTTATTATTCACGTATGTGAGTAATCCCTCCCCCCTAAATACTGCTTTTGTGCATCGCGGAATGCCCTCCATTGACCTTCTCATCTGAGTTCTTCATTCAGTCCTCATATTCCCAAGGCTTTATTTGAAACGGAATTGTGGCATACGATAAGAATTTTACTGATCTGACTAACACCAATACTATTTTTTTTTTTAATTCGGTGCTTCTTATTGCTTTAAAACTGCAAATTGAAATCTCCTCTAACTCCTTCTTTTTATAAAATTCCGAGTTTAATTTCAGTTGCCTTGAGTACCGGCATAACCTTCCTTCTCCGTTTGAAGAATATACTACGTGAACAGCCAAGGGAATGTTAAAGCTGGGACTACTGTTTTTGCTAGTCCGCTTTCCATTTCTCTCAGTTTTACCTTTCTAAAGCTGTTTTTACATACATAGTCCGTAGTCCGCGTTTTATACCTTAACCTAGTCCGTGTTTTATACTCAGTCCGGAGTCCGCATTTTATACCTAGTCCGTATTTTATACCCAGTCCACAGTCCGTGGCCGCAGTCCGCAGTCCTTGTTTTATACTGACCGGAAAGTGCACTGTCGTTCGGAAAGTGTTTGACAGTCACATGAGAAAGCAAAATATTTTAAAACTAAAAAGCGTTAATAATTGCCTTTAAAAGTGATCTTTGCTTTGTAAGTAGAAATGCTGCGCTGATAACAAGTTTCTAGAATATTCAGGCGCATATGCAATCGGATACTTCGAGTCACGCTGTATTTTGGCAAGTCCGTACACAATGAACCGTTCAAAAAGATTTATATGTTTTTCTTTGATTATTGAACTGTCTTTTCTACACTATTTCAATTCATCCATGAGCTCGCTACTAGGAGCCTTTGATTAAAACAGCCGCTCGCGTTCCCCACCAATTACCCCAGTCATTTGTTATGTTTTATTTCACGATGCCAGGTTATATTTTTGGAACAGATCGCCCGACTACTTTGCAAGTGCAAGAGAAGCTTATCAGTCGCTTGCCTGTCGAAATTTACGTACAATTGCGTTGTTATTGTTGTGTCCGGATACTGGGCAACATAGGAGCTCTGCAAAAATATTAATTTCGCGATGGAAACAAAGGCAAAAAAGTTAAGTCTTTCGTCATATTAAGGACTAAATAGATTTTCTCTGGGCCAAATTTCAGAGCCCTTGCGATTAACAAAGGAAAGTTATTGCAATCTTACCTGAAGTGTCCGGATACTGGGCAACATACTGTACTTTGTGTTTAAACACACTGACTTCACTTAAAAAAAATGCGTTCTATTGTTTTTCTTTTTCTTTTGTTTGTTTTGTTGTTGTTGTTGTTGTTCTTAAGGATTTTTTTAACACTTTTTTTATGCCAAACGCTGATGACAAAAATTTTAAATTGGACGATCACAATGAACAAACGTCACGAAGAATTACTGTTTTAATGGAACTAAATAAATTTATACCTCATCAGATTCTAAAAGAGAATTATCCCTTTTCAATGAGCCGATTTTCTCTACTAACTCTCCAATACTTCTTGAGGAGAAACTGCGCTTTCTAAAATCACCTAAAAAAAGAAATTAAATATTAAAAACAATTTAAAAAACAGTATTATTTGAAATAATATAAAAAATATTTATAAATATAATATTTGAAATAATATAAATTTAATATTACTGACCACTGGTTTGTGAATCTTGGCTGCCTTGTCGGCTCACGACTGAAGGCTTGTCATTATTTTTGTTATTTGTTGATTTCTGTTTTTCTTCCGGCAGAGCCACTAAAGCAATACCATCTTTACCTGTTTAAGGACAAAAACAAACTTCAAATTAATCAATCATTTAGTCCTCAAAGTTAAATAAAAAGTAACCTGATGTCACTGTACTTATAGATGTACAGTAATATACCCTTGCAATTCTGATTGCAAATGTGGACTACAAGAAACAAATTTTAAACCGTTATGGTTGGAACACACTAGATGGCAAGTTGTAGAAACACACAGTGGCAACACAATGTTGCTACAAAATCACTTTAACTGTGCGAACTGGAGAATTTTTTGTGAAAATCTTTGGTTCCCCAACAGAATTGTGTTGCTGCAACATCACACAAAATCAAATCAAATTAAATTTGTGCAGCTTGTTGCAGTCACAAAAATGTGTTTAATACCAAGAACGTTGCAGAGACAATTTTTTGTACAAAAATTATCTAAAACGTAGTGCACAGCAGCAATTATTGCTGTATCAGGTGGTGCAACTTGTCACCCGACTTGTATACGCAGGCAAGGACAATTTGTCACCATCACATGTTGCAGCAACATTACATGTCACCTGGTGTGTTCTGACCTTTACATCTGTCAAGTGGATACATTTTCTTTTTTTAGGTATAAACGACTGATAATAGGGAGATTTTATGCAGATGATCTGATGCATGAAACCACGTTCTTGATGCAAGAAAAAAATAACAAAACCATGTTACATGTCTTTATACACCAGGACACGGTACAGCAGGTTACACGTGCTTCATGATGTATTCTTTACCATCTAAGATTCACATAATTATAATATTAAATTTTGCCCAAACACTTAGAAAGGACTTTTATTACTACAGTGGAACCCCAGTTTATATGGTTACCAATAAGCCAAAAAAAAGTTGGCCATATTAACGGGTGACTGTATTAACGAGGGTTTTTTTTTTTACAAGAAAATGTATGGCCGTTTTTCCAGGCAGCCAGAAAAATGGCGGCAATAATGAGGTGACCGTATCACCAAGGTGGCCATAAGGTGGGATTTTATTGTATATAAACACCAGGCAAGCTTTTGAGCGAAAACATGTTAGATGTATCTTCATCACTAGTGAAAAGATTACTGCCGCAAAAAAAAAGTTAATGTAAAATTGGCTGGTATTATATTGTGTTAAACATGGCCACACATTTGTTATGAATTTTTCAATGGGTGTTGGAAAATATTTCACTAATGTTTGCAAAACTCACTCGTGAAAAAAATTTTCAAAGACACAAAGAAAAATCAAAATCTTGTATATCTCCACACAGCCATGTAATAATCCGCTATAAAATAAATGCAACTTGAGCCAGCATTACTTAAATATTATTGCAGTAATGACCAGTTACAATACATTTGTTTAGGTTTGTAAATTACACAGTAACTTAAATGGACCTTACATGGTACAGGTTTTGGTTCCTCTACTTTCACTTCTTCTCGTAATGCCCGGGGAGTTCCATGATAGGAAGGATTAACACCGCAGTGACTGTCAAATGTAACTTTAGACTCTGTTCTTGGGCCTTCCCTGACATATTTGTGTGATGCTGAAAAAAAAACAACAACAACAACAATTTATAAGCAGAATTATTGATCAAGCATTAGGTGCTGGATATTGGCTGAATTCAAACTTTTAACTGTTACAGTTTTAAACTATTTTACAGAAATGTTTGGAATAGGAAATTAAACGTACATGATGTATTTGCTGATCCATTTCTTTGTTCCTCAGGTTGTTGTCCTGATTGCCTATGTCTTTTCTGCCAACAGTATGCCATTAAAATCAACAAGCACACAGCAACTAAAAAACCTAACACACCAAATACAATAATGATTATATAACTTATTGAAAGAGGTTTTTTAGAATCAGATGCACCCGGATTAGAACTTCCACAATTTCTATCAGGCCTAGGACTGCAATCTTTGTCTATAGCTAGTCTGGCACATTCTTGAACCTTTTCATCTTTTCCATCCAAACAACAGGCAGAACACTCCTGGCAGTTATGAACAGTCTTGCTCATGAAATATCCCTGCTCACACTTTCCACTGCACACTGTGTCACTTTTGTTGGTACACTCTGCATTTTTTATTTCATGTTCTGCACAATGATGACAAGCTTTACATGGAGAAGAATCATATTCACTGGAAAATGTTCCCACTTTGCAGGCATGGCACCCAGTCGTTGGAGGATCTAGCAGTGTACTGCCACATTCTGGGTGTAATCCAAATCCCTTGTGGCATGTATCACAGTACAGACATCTCTGAAAAGTTCCAGTTGAATTAACAATTCTGTACTGGTTTTTACCACAAATTACTCTGCTGTTAATCGGCTGTATGACCTTTGAAGAAAAATTGTAAATATTTAAGGTTTTTATCCTTAAAACGATCCCAAACACGATTGCACTGCACATAAAACAACCTTTGTTGCAGGCCGGTCTACCGTTTCAAGTCTGCTCTATGAAAATAAATTTGCTGGGTAGACAAAGATCTGATGTTTGGAAATTGACAATAACAAATCTACACATCCAGACATTTTTTCAGGGGGAGGAGTGCAAACAGCAGCTGGACATTAATCTTAAGTGGAATCAATCAGTTCAAACTCAAAGTGACAAATGACAATCAACAATAATGCTCTGATTACATGTTATATAATTTGCAGGTCCAGGTGCAGTTGCACATAAAGGTGTGACTGAAGGTTAGGGTTAGCAAGGGTTCGAGTTACAGGTGTGCATGATCAGGTGTTGGATACCTGGTTATGCACACCTGCATATTACACTAGAACAATTATCATTCTGGGTCCGGTTCCCCAAAGGATGGTTAAGTTTAACTCAGGATTAAGCCAAATTTCAAGCATGGTTTTCTCATCTAAGAACATGTAACTCGAGGTTACAAAATACTTTTGAGCCTTAAAATACTATGAGATACAGAAATGATAACACAAAATGTTACTCTACCCATTATGCATAGGAATGTAAAAGACAAAAACGGAACAAATCTTTAATCCTGCGTTAATGCTAATTGGCCTTTCAGGAACCGAGCCCTGGGTCTTTAAGCCTGTTTCAGGTACACAAAAAGTTGGTGGGGAAGGAAAAAGGAAAAACGAAGGGAGAGAGAGCCCGTAATCATTTATTTTACGACCCTCTTCCACCCACTTTTGGCATGTTTGAGATAATTAGATTTTGGCTGTCAAACTGTTGAAATGTCAATGACTTGGAATCTTTCTCAAATTTCTTGCGAGATTATTTTGTGCGGCGCTTATCCCTTATGCAAGTAAGAGCAATCTGGAGTGTAAAAAGTGGGTTGGTAGGCAACACACGACTTTTACCTTTTTTTTTTTGAAACGTAAAGTTCTTCTTTGTGGCTAAATAAGGGTTTTAGGTTGTTTAATTTTCTCCAAAGTCCCTCCTTGATCTGAATCACTGAAAGCGATTTTCTTTTGTAAATTGTCTGTGAATGTGATCTGATGGTCTCCTACAGTGAGTTTTGTCACGCTGGGCCCAGTTCGTTAGTGATTTGGCAGGATCTGAAATTCTCACGGATGGTGATTCACAGATCCAAATTTCGAAGAATGGCTTGCAGCTTAAACTGAAGCCACTTTTTAAACATGGAGATTCGAACTACGTTGTGAGTCAGTCAAGATTGCTCTTAAGCAATGATTTTTAAACTCCACTTTCTTCTTCTTAAGAGATCTAAAGATGATATGAATCTGGACTGGAGCAAGTAGCTATAGATAACTCCTTGCGACTGTTCTGTTATTGCCACTTTGTTATCAGACAAGACAGAAGCCAGTCGGCAGGATTACAAAAACACTTTTTTGCACGTGCCAAGTTCACAAGGCCGGTCTTCTGTTCCTTCCTCAGCACTCCCAAGTGCAGGAAATCTCGTAAAACATTCATTCAACACAGAAGTTGTCGTGGATTCCTCTATTTCATGTGCATGGACGCTGCACCCCATCCCTCTGAGTGACAGGAATGACACGTTTTGAGAGTGTGGATATAATCCGTGAAATCTGACCAATCAGATATACCAGGAGCTGGTATACCAGAACAGGTCGTTTAAAGAAATGATTACAGGCTCTGCCGCCCCTGCTCTTCCCAGTTTCCTCCCGTTTTATTTTCGTGTTTATGCTTTCTCAATTCAGTGGACCTGACTATCTCACAGCCTGGAACAGGCTATGGGTCTTTCAACTTAATGAGGGCCAGAATGCTGAACAAAAACCAAAGAGTACTGGTAATAGTAAATTAGTACATATATGTTTATTTCAAATCTTTCATAAAACAGCATCAACAAAGAAACTATTTTCAACCATTTTAATATTCAAATGTTCATTGATTCGACCAATAATATTATTAAGCCTACCTATTAAAGTAACGTCATTCTCAATCGAGATCTTTCAGCTTTGGTGTAGTTGTGCAGTTTTAAAAGTGATCTTAATCAGTTAATTATCAATCACCAAATATTTTTTTTACATAAGGTTATCTAAAGCGTGGTAAACGATTATTTCTCACGACCTTTTATTTTAAGTGGAAAGTTTGAAGCTCATAAATTTAAGAAGGCGCGAAATCCGTAATATGGTGACTGAGCATTCACAGCTGTTTATATTGATAACTCAAAGTTTGCTCTCCTTACCAAACATACGCCAAAAGCAATTGCAAACAGAGAAGACCTCATCACATGGACGATTCACATGGATCTGAAACAGAGACCCAAATCAGCTAAAATTATCTCTGTAATAAATCTTTGTGGATCTGAGCGCAACCACTTCAGAAACCCTACACCATCTGCCATAAGCCAAGCACAAATTCGTAAAATAACGGTGACAACACGACAACTTTTGCAAGTTATCTAAAAGTGAACTGGAAGAAATCTTAGCTCACAGCGTGATTAGCATATTATATATACTAACACCGGTTCGCAAATCTGCAAAATTTCATTTAGCTTCCAATAACTTTCTCATCCGGTTACTATATTACGTTTGTGACAGACCTCACGGACAAATTTAAACTGGCATCAAAACCTAAAAAAAGATGACTTGGGCACTAAAACGATGGCTGCTTACCTTTTATCAGGTGGAAAAACAAAAAATGTCCTTTGAAAGCAGATCTAACAGGTTATATTAAAAGAAAGTGCCATTTTAATGCAAGTTTACGCTGAGCTTGCTGAACGTTCCATGAGTGCACAAATACGTCAGCGGTTACCGTGGAAACCATCACGAGATTGCGTTAACTCAAGTGTGATTCCAACACGTGCCAATAGTTCATCAGTGTTTTACGTTTTTGTTAAAGTTCACCCGTGAGGTTTGTAGCCATCATCCCGCCATCTCGAAGAAAGGTTGTATCACAGTGGACTGCCATCATCTGACCTAGCCTCCTCCGCAGGCAGGACAGGAGGCTACATCCCCCCCGGGGGGGAGGGACTTCCATATCTGGGCCTGTCCCAACCTCTTTTTGACCCCTAAGAGCGATCATTTTAAACTTTGATTACATGAATCGAGTAAATAAAACGAATTGAAAATATATAATTTTTTAACATTTCTTCGAGTGCAACCCTAAAAGAGACCGTTAAATATAATGGTATTTTGCCCAGAGGACCCTAAGCGAGACCAATTTTCTCATCCTTAATATAATAGGATAGCTGCTTTATTATTATTTACTAGAAATACGTGTATCGCAGAACCTCGCGAAGCTCCGGGGGCGGGGGGGACATAAAATATCAGGGATGGAAGGGGGAGAGAATTGGAGTAAATGTACATGTGTAATATAGTAAAAGAAAATGGGTGTGAGAGTGAATAACTGCAAGCGAATATGAGGCAAACACATGCTATCTTCAATGTGTAATATGTGATATTTGTCCTAACGGAGCCTGGTCCCAGGCTATGTCATAAGGATGCAGTTGAGGAGAACTATGAAAGTGATCATGACTCACGATTACTGAATATGCGGTACCCTCATTAGCACTGAATTATCACAGTAAAAAATACCAAATCATTTATGAAAGTGTTTATATAGTTTATATACTCATGCAAGAGTGAATTTGTATGAAATGTCCACATAAAAGTAATGTTGAAGGTGATCAGTATTTCAATTCTCGATCAACATTCATGAGCTTGTTGCCTCGCGAAACTCGGTTTGGTACCCGGGGGGGCACTTGGTTATTTTTTGGGTGGGTATGTGCAGCCCGGGACTCCAAATTGGCACCCCGTTCTAAAAAAAAATTCCCCTAAAATTGATACCCCGTTCTATAAACGGGCCAATTTTTTATACCCCGTTCTAGAATTCGCCCTAAAACTAGACGCCCGTTCTATAAATGGGCCCATTTTTTATATTCCGTTCTAGAAAGTTTGCCTTGAAATAGCCCTGTTTTTTAAAAAGATATTTCTTTATTTGTTTGACTTATCCATCAAATAAATGCTTCTTCATAATCAGCAACAATTTTAAGCAGAAGATAAATCCGTGATCCACAATTTTTTATACCCCGTTCTAGAAAACGCCTCTGAAATGGATACCCCGTTCTAAATCAGGAGCTTCAAAATCACGACCCCGTTGGGCGGCGCATACCTGTATAGGTAATGTATGGGAGTACCCCCCCCCCCGGGGGGTTGGTAACGGCACTCAAGTTAAGCCCTGGCGTAAGAACTGGATGGGTGACCAACCGCGAATATCGTCTTAAAGGTCCATACGTTGTTCTTTCTTTTCTTCTTCTTCTTCTTTGCGTATTATGTGGTGTTATTGTTAACAGTGTATTGAAAAGCAGATGTAGCATTATTTCGGCGCCCGGATTTAGATCCCTGAGGAAAAATGGGGACTACTCGTAGTCTAGGCGCAGTTCGCCTGAAAATTATTATAGTTCGGGCCGTAATACAGAGCTGAAACTTTGCAGACTTTGCTCTACATATATCGGCGGGGATGGGTTTTGGACAGTGAACGATCATAATGCTTCTGATTCCAATCTCCTTTTCCTCTCTCTCTTTTTGTCGGCGTTGTCTTCGCTGTGCTAAGCGATGTTCCTTCTGCTCCGCGGTTTCTTGTTAACTTTTTCTCCTTCGTTGTTCACGATGAATTTGAAGTCGGCGTTCTCGCTCCAGAGGAGTTTCGGTGGAAAATCTTCCTGGGCGAGGATTTGGAGTCACTTGTTGTGCTTGTGTGTCATTTGCATGGGAAATTGTTCGTGATTCACCGATGGTAAACTTTGATTCACAGACGATGAATAAACATATCAAAATGCGCCCTGGTCATCGGCGGCGAAGTCTATGTTGCCTGGAAACGCAAACTGCTCCATGACGTCATTGGCTAACTTATCTCCTTCCCTCGTAGGGTATTGCCATTAAAGACTGTAGGAAGGAGGGGAATAAATTGTCGCCCGGGGTATTACTCCGCCCGATTCTCCAAGTCCTGATCCTGCAGTTCAGTCCAAGAAATGCTAGCTACCCTCCACACCCATTTTCAGACTTGGCGTCTAACTGACGGAATTTAAAGGTCTCAATTCGGTGGTAGGCAAAGTCTGTACCGTACCCATTTCAGGACAAAACAACTCAAAACCAGTCCTATTTGGGGCGACACACCTACCTATAAGGGAGGGGGGGGAGGGGGTCATATACCCGCAAATTATCAGCAGTGAAGCACAGGTGGCAACTCCGAGGCACACCCGGGTGATATGGTTGTGCGCACTCCTAATTAAGACCGCGGAGTTGTAATTAGCACGTGTGGTTTAGTGCTTATACTGTTGCTGGGTCTTATAGGAGAGTATCCTAGGTTCAGGATATGACTAATGCAGAATTGTTCTCAGCCTATTACACACTAGCCATGATGCATGCAGGCAGGCTAGAGATAAGTGGGTACAAGCTACAATACGAAATCGATCACGTTTATTTTATGGGTATCATATTACCTTTTCCACAAGGAAACCTCACACACACATAGCTACACATCGTTTCCTGTTAGGTTTTGAAGTGAGAGCTTTCAAAACTAATATCTTATCTTACAATTAACACATGTACACGCACGTGGAGAACTGTGCTCCTTGCTGTCCACAAATTAGGTAAGTTTGTAACAGTACAGTATGTAAGATAAACAAGAGGTCCGGAGGTTTGCTTCCTCTGGTAACAACAAAAGTATTTTACGTTATGAGAGACTTGTCATTTTAGCCGATGAAATCAAGCTTTGAAATCCTCAGGCAGAAATTACTGCACGAGAGCTTAGAGAGACACGAAATCTTTTCTTTTTCCTTAGCCAATGTCCAAATAAATGTATCAGGATCTAAATTTTTTAAGCCGTTCAGTCAATGTGCGTGATTAGTTTGGACCTCCACCATCGCGAGGTCAAATGCAAAGCAACAGGCGGAAATGAATTGGCACATATTTTAATGTGGAGAAATTTACAAGAAAAATGGTAGCAAAGCCGTTTGCTTTCGCAGCCGCTATCATGGTGAATGAGAAAGGACTCACTCATGATCAGTATGCTTAATTAAGTATGTATAACAGATTGTTTCAGTAAAAATAAAATACAAACTGCGGAAACAAACATTACGAAACAACGCATGTTGCAAGAAACTAAGATTTTAAAGCCTTGACGTTTCGTATGTAACAACATACATCTTCAGAAGTGACGGTTAAAAAGGTAACAGTAAAATTTTAACATCTAGAAAAAAAGCCGGAAGCTAATAAACAGGTGAAAGCATTAACTGATGACAAAAAAATGATGATGACAGACTCAATTTGAAGTCAGCAGGAAATTAACAGATTGTTCGAAAAATTTTTACAAAGCGTGGATTCAGACCGGTTTCGAATTCCTCCGTGCGGAAACGATCAGCTACATTGTTTGAAACAGTAAAGAGAAACAGCATGCACTGGGGCTTCAAGTGCAGAGTTGCACAACTCGGTCACGCCCCCCGGCCACCTCAGGCATGCGGTAAATATGTTCCTCAAACGATCTCGAAAAGAAGTGTAGTCACTGAACTGCAAAAGAAACCGTATTTTTGCGTATTCAAGTTCACGCGAACAGTCAAACAAAAGGTCTGGAGCGAGGCTGAAAACGGAAAGCTAAAGAAGAAACCGACTGTTTTGCCTTCTACATGGTCACGTTCTAGTGTTTTTATTTCCCAGTTTTAAAACTAACCTTTCAAGAAGATTAAGTGAAAGCTGAAACAGCTTATTTAAAAGTGGATAAACTTTTCGGGAAATTGATGTCATGTACCCAACTTGACATGACTTGGCTTTCTCCTCATTATTGGAGTTCAGTAGCCTCTTTTTTAATAAGAATGGAAGGATAGATAAAGGAATAAGGACTGAATGAACAATGAAACTGGGCTTATTACCAAAGTAACTTAGTTGCCCTTTGATGTAATTTTGGTTCTTAAAATTGCTTTCGCAATACTGTAATAGTATGTACATATATGGTCATGCAATTAAAGCTCGTTGTTGTTGTTGTGATTAAACGAACGAGCCAATCTATGACCGACACTTAGATCAAACGTCAGCGCTAACGGCCGTTATAAATCACACTGTAAGTAATTCATCGATATCTCCCCTCATCACAAACGGCTCGAAAACCGATAGTGAGTGGCAAGGCCAGATTCTTTGAGTGGATGGTCATTTCGCCTTTCCCTGATCTAGGCGGGAAGTCCCGCTATCCGGATAGCAGGCTCTTTGCTAATCATTCACGTGGTACAAAACCGCAATGGTGGAGAACAAGTTTAAGAGACGCACTGAGACAAGACAAAAGAAGGTTTACATCAGTTAAAATGGTAGTCATATTTTCCCTTGCTTTTATTTTCTTGTCCCACTGCGTCCCTTGTTCTCCTGCTTGGCGATTTTGTGCCACGTGAATGTCTAGCTGCCAAAAGCCTTAATTATTCAGGTGTCACAGCTAAAGTCTAACAAAATGCAGTAAAGCATTCCCATTCTCTCGGAGCGTTGTTCTCGCCTACGTTTCTACAGACTGAATAAACCAGAAGATAGTGCTTCCAAGTTTGGAATTTCGTTTAAGAAAAAGTTTTATTTTTTAAGAAATCCGTCTCTCTTTTAGGAACCCGTGATGCTTTTTTTAAGTTATGCGGCATGACTTGTTGGCTTACATTGACGACGGGCAGCGTCGTTCCGTTCAAATTATGCCCTGTCCTCGGTTTCTCTTCCTTGCTCTTTGGAATATTTCATTGTCATGCTTGCTGTTCTCGAATATCAATGCAGGTATGTCTTACAACTGAAGAAAAAGAAAAGGTTAAAACTTTAAGATAGACAGACTTTATAGGGGAGCATGTCTTGTGCGATGTACATATTACGTTAATTAATAAGCGTGAGGATATGGCAGGATATTGGCCAATAAGTTGTTTGTTTAGTTTATTTTAATTTTAATTTTTTTTTTCTTTTTTTGGACAGAGACTAAGCAGAAAACAACTAACCATGAGGTCAAAAACAAAAACAAAAACAAAAACAGAGAAAGAAGATAAAACAAGGCCACAATTATCAAGTCAACTTAACCAAATTTTAAGATAGGAAAGCAAAACGAGCTCAAATTGCTTCAAAAATGATAGAGAACACAAACCACAGCAAAAGTAATATATATTTTTGTTTTCATTTTTTTAGCAGACGCATGCGCTCACATACTGAGCTTGGTATGCCTGTGGTAAATTACATTACTAATAAACTTCCGAACGTAAGCTTAAGACCGCTTATCATATTATATTTTTGTTTAAGGAGACGAGTGTTCTTTCGGCAACAACAACCTCTGCCATTTAAACGCTTCGTGCATCACCAAAGCGGGTTCATTTCGCTGCGTGTGCAACTCAGGATTCAGTGGTAACGGTTTTGACTGTAGCGATATAAATGAATGTTCCTTTGGTACACATCTTTGTAGCAGTGCAGCAAACTGCCTCAATACAGCCGGCTCGTACAGGTGCAGTTGTTCAGCGGGTTTTACAGGAAATGAGAAGTCATGTCATGATGTCGACGAGTGCGCAAGCCAAACTCACAACTGCCATGAGCATGCCTCGTGCAGAAACACCGCTGGTTCCTATGATTGCAAATGCAATCAGGGTTACTATGGAAATGGGCTCAACTGCACAGACATCGACGAATGTTCTTTGCAGAATTACAGCTGTCACTCAAATGGGAATTGTATGAATTTTCCAGGATCGTTTAACTGCACTTGCCAGAATGGATTCACAGGAAATGGTTTTGACTGCAATGATATCAACGAATGTGTTCTGAAAGAGGATCATTGTGGAAATCAGACATATTGTGTTAATTTGTTTGGCTCTTTCTCTTGCACCCCAGTCTGTAAGCTGGGTTTTGCAGCTAATTTAAGTGGATGCGTGGACGTCAACGAATGCGAGCTTAACATACATAACTGTGATACGAAGTCTTCATGCATCAACCCGGACGGTTCTTATCACTGTAATTGTCTGCCAGGATACACTGGAGATGGTTTCAGTTGCTCTGATATTAATGAATGCACCTCTAACGCTCACCCTTGCAGCAAAAATCGAACATGCCGCAACACACCTGGGTCGTACGAATGTGTTTGCGATGAAAAACTTGGCAACTGTGTTCCAATCAATGGCTGCTCTCCGGAGTGTCATCCAAATGCCATTTGCACTAAGGTCAATGGTTCTTTTATCTGCCAGTGTATACCTGGATTCGCTGGTGATGGACAACTCTGCACAGGTAGTTCATACCTCTTGTTTGTATGCGTGCATTTGAGGTGTAACTAGGCAACAATATCGTCCCATGTTAGGGAATTTAGACCCCGGCATCCTCGAAAATTTTGGCTTGTCGAATCCGGAATCCCGGGCTTTGGAATCCATTATTTAACTCAAGGAATCTGGAATCCTGCTAACGATTAGAATGTGGAATTTAAGTGGCACTGACAGAGAATCTGGAACCCAGTGTGTAACTGGAATCCGGAATCCACAGAGTTGTTACAGGCTACTTGCACTAAGAGGTCACGTGACCAATGCTTCCTTTAAACATTGAGTTGGAATCTTGCTGGTGCCAAAAATTGACGGAGCACATAAAAATTATCTTACACCCTAAATTTGAGAGGAAACGCATTTAAGGGAGATATTTTCTGGCTCTTTGATTTTTCAACAAAGTAGTATGATTTGTATTGGCCGCCATGTTAGAGGGCATACTCTTGACTCATTTTCAGAGAATGGTGCCAGTTTGAAAAACCAAATCAAAATTATTTTGTTTCAGATATGACCCGCTAATCGTTCTTCTAAGGCAATATCATATAACTTTTATTTTCATAAAAGCGATGTCACATGACCTCTTAGTGCGAAGGGCCTATTGTGTGGGTTCTATTTAGTCTAAAGGTTGATTTCCTCTGACGTGTTTTTGGCTACGCACGTTAACGCACGTAAATTTTAATCACGTAAATACAATGGAAGCAAGATAAAAAGTGCTGAGCTTAAACGAGTAGTTGAGCGAGGTTCAAATTTTACTCTTACGAGCGACCTTCCATGCATTGCCTCTATTTTATTTACGAACGTAAATTTTCCGCACGTACGCACGTAAAAATTACGCGACACTGGAAATCAACACTAACAGATAAAACCTAATGTTCGCTCCGTGTAAGACTGTCTTGGATTATCTAACATGAGGTTTATCTCTTAAACTAATTTGTCCAAAGACACATTTGCCAAATTTGTCTTAAGACACATTAATTTAGGGAAAATCGTTGGCATTGCCTACAATCAAGTGTGACGTAACGTTACCAATTGTATTCAGTGGCTTTCCGCATCAATCAATCAATCATCAATCAATCGATCATTGACTCGTTACGTCGAGGAGCTAGAAAACTCGTTCTAAATAGGAACGTGTACAAATAAAATCTATAATAATTACAGCTATGTTATAATATTATTCAATTTTAAAAATAACTCAATAAATATATAAAAACTTAGTAATAAAAACATAAAATATAAAAAGCTAAAACCTAATAAAAAGTCATATGCTAAAAACATGACTTGAAAACTATAATACTAAAAAGCTACAATCGTGCACTATAAGACACTTTCTAAAAAGCTGCAATCGTGCAGTTTACTTTTGAAGTCATTAGCATCACTTGAAAGACGCACTTGAGAGGACAAACTGTTCCATAACTTAGTTGATGAATAAGTGAAAGAATTCTTCTTAAATTTATGATTAAAGTTAGGTAATTCCAAATATATATTTTTTTCAAGCCCTTGCCTCTTAGCCCATACGGTGTATACCTATATTTAAAAAGTTCCAATATAAGTAAGTCCCGTACCATTTAAGCATTTAAAAAGAAGTATTAATAATCGTTCTTATGATAGACATCAATATAGTTTCGCTCAAATACTACTCCAGCTCGGTATAATTCAACGGCTCTCTGATATTAATAATAATAATAATAATAATAATAATAACAATTTGAGGTCTCTTTTAAGTCTGCAATTATATACGAAAATGTCATTAATGAATGTGAAGGATGATTAATTAAGTGCACTCTTATTTTGATACGAACAGTGGAAGGATCGAGTCCAAATATGGAAAACCTTTCAGCAATGTCAGAGCAGCAGCAGCAGCAGCATCAAGTCATTATTGGTTTGACAGCAGGAGCGGTGGCAATTTTAATCCTGTTAGGAGTTATCTTAACTTATAGGTACGTATTCATGTTATAACTAAACTGGTGCACATGAGGTTATTCCCATGAGCAAATATACAGTAATACTTCCCTTTACATGCATGATTTTCATATTTCAAACTCGTGGCTAAGTCGTACCCTGGCTTTTGCAATATGATGATACAATTCGGGTTTTGTTTTAGGCCTGACGTTTGCTTTATTTTGTGACTCTTCTACTGTTAGAACAGATAAGCAAAACAAACAAAACAAAACAAAAGTTGCAAGCAAAGTCTTGCCGCGTCGAAGGTGTAGGCAATCGAGAATTCGAGGAGGGCAAGATAGCAGATTCTTTCGGTTGTCAACCAGGACACTGGATACGCTTTATCATAACCTGTTTCGGCAGGTTTTTTCTTTCAAGTCATCAGAAGTTAAAATGACTGTCTTTGACTGTCTAGTCCAGAACCTGAGAAATGAAGAGAGGTAAATACGCAAAGACCTTCACCAAGATACGGGACAGAGCAATTTTTCATTTTGCGACAAATTCGGTGAAACGATTTACCCAAATGTATGATAGAGATTTGTGAGACGCCATGTTGGACATGACTGACTGACTTGGCACCAACATGGCGACCGGAAACCAAAAGATCGAAACAGACAACGGAACTTTGACAAAAATCTGTTACAGACGAGCTTTAATAGAAAGCGTGAATTTGTCTCTCAAGGGACTCATAAACATTAATTCTAATACAAGAACTATATAATTATTCAGATAGCAAAGACCTCAACAAAATCTCTCAAAATATTGGCCACTTTTTTTAACCTAAATGACAGCTTCCTCCATTAACGTACCTTTATCACAAACCGAAAGACCCTTTCGAAGAGAAAATTTGTAAAAATATAAGCTTTTAGCAGCTCAAATCAAGAGCAAACAAAAACTAAGGGGGATTCATAATTCTTTTATTTTGCTTGAGTACGTTTTGATGACTTCACGTAAAAACCAGCAATAAAAGTTAAATAATTTTGTCTAACTTCCAGATTAAGGAGGCGAAACAGCAGGAAGCCCATTTTGCGTTACGCCAACTCATTCATGGCTCACATCGACGAAATGATGGAAGATCAACCTGACAGAGGACTGGAGTGTGTTTCAGTCAAGTCATCACTTTTCTCCATCCCTAGCCTTCACCCTTCAAATCTGAGTCTAACATGGACGGAAAATGAAGACTCTCGGTTATGACCAACGAGAAATACAGTTGAACCTCCATCGAGCGATCACCTAGCTATTTAGCGGCTAGTTGGCTGTATTTTAAAAATATAAAGAAAAAGAATACTACACATAGGCACGTTTAACGTGCATGAGCTATTTTGAATGCTTCAGTTTAACCGTTTCAAGAATCTACTCTGTTAATTCTAAATTTAGACTTTTTTGGCCGACTACCTCGTTCCTAGATGTCTCTTGAGAACTCAACTGCGAGCGATCAAGGAGGTATCGCGTAATGGACCACAGGAACGGAAAGGAAACTGGTAAGGGTGGGCCTTTCCCATGAAACCTTGAGGGGAAACAAAATCGCTTCAGGAACTCTCGACCTCGATCCTCTAGTTCGCGCCTGGGTACGAGGCAGGTCGGCCGAGCTATACAAGATGACTGATATAACTATTGTTTATGGTAGCTATTAAATTTGCTGAGAATTAAAATTCAATCTTGACACTTACAAACTTAAAACTTTTGCATACTTGAACATTTTACTGCTTTGAACCTTTTTTCCAGTATAATTTTTTTGTACTAAACTGACCAAAAGAGCCAAAATGGTTGACCCTATGACACTTATGACGTCACATCTCGTGACTATAGCAACTGACTACCGCCAAAGTGTTCTTGTTGAAAGAATATTTGTTATTAAATAATATTCTCCTCCTCCTCGATCTGTGTAATTCTTCATATCATACTTCAGCCAAATCGAACCATATTGTTTTCTGATCAAATTCATTTAACCTTTTCCCATGCTAAAAACATGCTAACGTCAAAAGGGAGCTTCCATATCTCCACCCCGACGACTTAAATATATACAATAAATTTTCATTATGAAAGAGATCAGAAGATCTTTGTGTGGATAGGAGGCCACGTGTCCCTCATATCCTTGCAATACTACAAACCTGTCTTATATAACAGATTTTTTATAGTGTAGTATCAGTATCTTTGTGTTTAAAGCAAAAACTATTTGAATTTTAGTAAACTGGATATACTTAGTATTTGAATGCCCTTTCAGTTGTCTGGTTCACCGATATTAGGCATTGGTTCCCTGCAGTCACCTGCTCGTTTAGAAAATGGCTAATTGACGTCAGTCGTATAGCTGGCAGACTTCTTCCAAATTTGGTCAACCATATAGCTGGTTATCAAGTGTAAGTCAGGGAACCAAATTAAGTCACTCAGAAACGGAGAATGTTTCGATTGAATGATAAAATCTGGTAGAAGTCTTAGAATCCGCCTGTTTTATTGCAGCCATGTCAGTTATCTAAAATCATTTAATTCACTGTCATTAAAAACTGAATCATTGGACTGATTGGCTTACACAGTAATTTTCAAGGAGTTATAATTAAAACTCCTCTAGTGGGGCTAATTTAACTCCTTACAGTGGAGTTATGTTTTGGGGAGTTATTTTAACTCCAAAAAGGAGTTTAATGAACCCCAAAAAAGGAGTTATCCTGTACCTAAAATTTTTACTCCACTTTCAGAGTTAAATTAACTCCAAAAAGAGTAAAAACAACCCATGTAAGGAGTAAAAGTAACCCCATTTCGTAGTTATTTTAACTCCAGACTGGGAGTAAAAAGAACTCTTTTTCAGGAGTAAAAATGACCCCAAATTCGCAGTTAAATTAGGAGTTAAAATAACCCCAAAAAAGGGGTTATCCTGTACCTAAAATTTTTACTTCATTTTTGGAGTTATAATAACTCCCTAAAAATTTCGGTGTAGCCATCATGGTATATGAGCCATTATTATTCAGTCAAAATATTTCCCCTATTCTGATTGGCTAAAAGCACACTTTTAATTCACCATAACCAGTTTCTGATGACCAAATTTGGAAGACTTTTGTGTATAGCGAGGAAATGACGTCACGTTCTTGCACGTTAATGAACCGTTAACCGAGAAGACCTGGGGACGAGGTTGAGCTGTGTTGGTTGTGAAACTTGAAAAATGGCGGACATTTCACTCGTTTCAAGAGTAAGAACTAGGCAAAAAAATAGCTAAAAACATGGCAAGAACAGGAAGAAGACAAATCGAAAGGCGACATCTGCTATTTGGAGAATATTTGCGGAGCTGCATGGACAAACCCAAACGTGCACTATCGAAGATGAGCTAAACATCCATGGATCGATGGAGGTAAGGCCATCCCCCCATTTTTTTTCGTTTAGCGTCGAATGCGTTTCCTGGTGTTGGGTCGGTCGGTCGGATTGAAAAAAAAAAACTAAAAAAAAAAAAATCACAAGAAGTCTCCGAATAGGAGGTGCCCTGATACCCCAGGATGACGTTGAAAGTTAACATTCACATATTTGGATTAACAAAATGCACAAAAAATGTTACCAAGAACGAGAAGTCCAAAGACTACTGAAAAGCTGATTTAAGACAACGTCTATTGTTTTTTATAACAATATTTCGGCTGTTTTTCTCTATGTTGTTACGATATTATGCTCCTTTTTTAGATTAAAGGAATTATTTCAAGTGAAAATTGGTTTAACTAAGTCGTTACTTTTTTTCTTTTTGAAAATGCCAAAAATTTGGGTCGGTCGGATGACACTAAACGGAGAAAAAAAAGAGGATGGCCTTAGCATGTTTTAGCCACGTTTTTAAACTAGGAATTATTTTGAATGAATAATAAAACGAGTATTGAATTCGGCTTTTGTATCATATGAAAATTTGGGAGATCTCGGAGGGTGTTGTCGATAACACCCTCCTCGATCTCCATAATTCTTTATAAGATACTCAGCCTCATTCATTAATTGTTAACTATACCATGCTCTCCAAATATGGTAGCTGAACGCGTTTGCTCAAAATTAAAAACAAGCTGAAAATCGCTTGTTTTTACATGCAAATAAAGTCAGGAAGATTTCTTGATATTTTGTGAGCGTTTTTGATGAAACAATTATTCCACTCGCGCTTGTTGGATATAATTAATAAAGTCTGGAAGATTTCTTGACATTTTGTGGGCGTTTTCGATAAAAGAATTATTCCACTCGCAATTGTTGGATATAATTAAAAGATGATTATAGCGCCTCGTTGCCTATTTACCATCTCATATCCAACGTGCACTCATGGAATAATTGTTAAACAGCCCAAATGTTTCCGCTATTTCAAAAACCTATACCCTGTCCCGATCCCATTCAGGATAACAATAACAATCAGATAATTTCAAGTTATAATCTTTCAAGTAACAAATAAATTGGAATAATACAAATTAACTGGAAACCGAACCATGATTGATTTGAAAAGTCAACACTGTTTAGCAATATGAAACCGAAAACCGCACCTTTCAAGAGCAAAATAGCGAGAAACGAGTACTTAGGGACGGACCATTAGAAAAGTTATGGGGGGGGGGAATTTTCGAGCTGCAAGAATTTTTTTCGTTATCAAATTCTTTGCATGAATTTTATTTAGGCCATTGCATGAATATTTTTTAGGGTTAATTGGCGTGCATGAATTTTTTTTCATTTAATTTTCCCTTGCGCGAATATTTTTTTTGTACTTCGCCCGCCCCCGCCATAAGTTTTCTAATGGTCCGTCCCTTAAGCTGGCTCCCCTCTGTGTTCTTGGTCGAGTTCTCACCCCTGCCATACCCTGCAATATAGAGCTCAGTGGTAGCATACAGTTAATATAAGTGACAGTGTGTTTAATTCAGAAGTAAAACGAACACCAATGTGAATACCTCGTATAAAGGACGCTTTTATCTAGGCGGGGGCGACCTTTAAAACAATCAAAACAGTTGATGCATTCATAAGTGAATTACTTAATTTTCAGTTTCGGTCAAAACTTGCACACAAGTAACCACCAACCGCACGTTTTCTTTCATCTGCCCTGACATGAATATATGTTATAAACAAAAGAAACAATGAATTTGACACAAGAGCCACTTGCCTAGCCATGAAAGCGAAAGGTAAAATATGATTCCAGCACTTATCCTTAACAATCAACTTATAGTTTCTGTCAGAGCTTCGGTTTCTTGAAGTTGCGTTGGTAAAATATTTTTCTTGTGGAGTGAATTTTTCCACGGTGGGCGAAAATGCCACGCGTAGGAAGAAGCCAACGCTATTTTATGCCCATTGTAATTTCTTTTTATATTTGCAGACGTACTTCCTGTGAAAAGACATTCTTGCATGACCATGTGAGTCACCTCTATTGGAGGATTTAATCCAGTTTTCTAATTGAGACAAAGATAAGACAACTATATTTACTCTATGATGACCTCGTGACTGCGTACTTAAAATTAGTTTCGAAAACTCCCTCAACATAAAGGAAGTAACTACAACGTTTTTTTTTAATCCCCTGTGCATTTCTTGGCGGCAGTGCCTTGGTTTACACATAAAGTAAGGTTTCACTCATCCAGCGCTCCAATTTAAGCATTTGCAGCCAGAAACTATGAAGGAGATTAGCATCTTCATCGTTTTTCTTGTCCTTTTTGTCTGCGCTGATGTAAGTACGATATATTTTAAAAACAGTATCTATATATTATAGTTTGTACTTCACCTTGGTCGTCATATTATTTCATATGGTCAAGAATTTGCCCTGCTTTAATGTGAATTTATATCACAAATTATGGATTACCGCGTCCGATTTTGGATTATCCGTGGAGTTCGATGTTGTTACAAATAGGCGATCATAAATTGAACTCTAAATTTTGTTTTTCTTTTATGTTTTCTGATATACCCTTCGAGATTTTACCCGTCTTAAATTTAAAATCTAAAACATTAAACAAAATTAATGCTTCGTATGTTGTCTTTGTTTCAGAATTCTTTTGTAAAATTTCTCTGTTGCTTGAAGCTTTAAGTTGAATTGTAGCAAGAAAATAAGGCTAGGGCACTTACAAAAAATTAAAAAAATTTAGTACAAAGATATCTCACAGTTTAAACCATGTTTGACACCTACTTTTTTACAGTCCATCAAGTAGCTCCTTCAAGGTTCTATTTTAGGTGAGGACCGTTACCTAAGCCTTCAGTCTTTTTTTCGTTAAACTTGTGCTTAACTGATTATATTTTAATACTTATCCTTTATAATAACGTCCATTTCTCCGAAATCGCCAGCAGGATAAAAACCAAGCGAGGTTTAGATAAATACTGAGCCCAGCTGTTATAAAAGAAGAGTAATATATTTCTGTTTATCTTGACGATTTCAACCTCTAACAAAAAAACACTAAAGGGAAAATCTGACACGAAACAAGCTTGTCAAGTTCCTATTCGCATTACCGAGGAAGCCATTAATATTGACTGTGAGCGCTTTGGATGAGTGGCTCTTGATCTTCCTGCAATGGACTCATAAGATCAGCTGCTGATAATGAAATAATAGTAACTCTAACGACTCCTTGGTTTCAAGTTAAGAATTACGCCGCCGAAGGATTACGTGTTATGGTCTGGGTAGATAAGTTTACTAAATAATAACGGGGCAGCAGCTAAGAAGGCTGAGAATGATATTGGCTTTAAGACGGCTTGGACAGTAAGCAAGACTGGACGCGCCTTTGATTTTAAATCAAGTGCACTTCCCCTATTAAGTTCCGCTCCGCTAGAATAATGCATTGCGCGCAATATCGACGAAAGCACGGAATTGGATTTTCAAAGTGTTACGAAACTAGATGAAACTGTAAGTATGTATGAAACGTAAAGAATTCGCTTCAGTGACCAGTATTAAATGCGAATATCGTTTCGGTCCGTTTTACAGTGATCTCTAACCATAGATTCCTCCACTCTTTTTTGACTACCGAGCGAAACAGAGTATACTGAGAACGTGGCTCCATATTAAAAACTTCACGGATTCTTTTGAGTGAAAGTGATCCCCTCCATAGTGACGCGCACGCGCGGTAAAGGTCTCGACACCCGCGGTGCATTACCTGGTGTTTTCTCTTTTGTAGGCACAGCATCATGACTGTAACTTTGACGAGTTCTACAACAGCACAACAGATAGCTGCGTTAAATGCCCAGCTTGTCCCGCTGGAAAAGGATTTACCAAAGGCTGTAGGTGTGAGTCCTGTATAAGTGGCCATTACAACGACGGCAAGGAAGGTCGTCGCTATTGTGAAACTTGTCAGTGGTGCGAAGCCATGAACAAGATTGAAATCAAGGCCTGTACTGTGAAAAGCGACGCTGTCTGCAAATGTCCAAGAGGGTAAGAACTTTTACATAGTTCATTGATCAAGCCAACGGCTTCTATAAAGATTGAGTGTGTTGGGGGAGGTTTTGGGGAGGAACAGAGGATCCAAACCTCTCGCCACCCTTAACTTGCATTCCCGGCTCCCACCCCTTTTTCTTAGTTTTCCTCCCTTTGGCCCTTTTTTGGGGGCGAAGTATTTTAAAAGCAATTAGTTGTTGCGTATTTTCCCCCTATTCCTCCAACTTCCCACTCTATTAGAATTTTCTCCTCCCTCCCTTTGCTCTCCCTCCTGCCGTAACCCTTCCGCCACCTAATCTCCTTGGCTACGACTCCCTGTCCTCCCCGGCTATAAAGGTGCACGCAGTTTACACCGGCTAAAG